AAAAGTGGAAAGGAAAAGATGAGAAGCCAAAAGCAAATGGTTCAGAAACTGAATGTTATCGTTGCGATGGAAAAGGGCATTGGGCAAATATTTGTCGTGTACCAAGACATTGGGTTGAGCTTTATCAAGCATCTCTAAAGAATAAAGGCCCTGAAGCCAATTTTGTCTCTGACGATGATTTTGACATCACCCACTTGGATGTGGCAGACTTCTTTGAGCGCCCTGATGGAAAAATAGACCACTTGATCGGTGATGGATCCGTGGTTAAAGATGATTGAGTAGTTTGATTTTTATTTTTACATATTCGTAATAGCTAATAAACATCATGTAATCACAGTTCTTTACATGAGTAGTAGTCATTAGTACTATTTATTTTATAGGATTAGTTATAGTATTCGTTTTAAACAATGTTTCAGTTTGCTTAGTTTTTTTTTTCTCTCAAGGATTAACATATTCTTTACTAAATTAAGGTTGTGATGTGAAAAGAATATTCAGTTACTTGAATTGAAAACAAAAGGATTAACTTTGAAATATTTCACATAATTAGAGAATGACGTCAAATTAATGCGAGCATATTTGCAAGTGAATTACGTTATCACGTTATTAGTGCCCAACTGCTGATTATAGGATTTGAATGGAATATAAATTCATTTCTTTATTACTACACCAAGTTAATCATTGATTGTCTTGCTCTTTTACTGTTCATTTGAATTTGAGCTAACTTTGAAAGTGAAAATACCACTTTTCTATTACTAGCATGATGAAAATTTTTAAAAAAGTGATAAGTGTAAATAAAGTGCGATTGTATTTTTAGCTACATAATGGTTTGAATCATAACGAGAGTTTGCCCGAAATTGCATTAGAGTCGTTATTGAATCAACAATTTAACTTTATTTCTTTCCCGTATATCTGAAAATACTAATATTATTCGTATATTTCTTTTGTATGTCACACAATTGGAAGCAAATATGGATACCTCACAAAACAAACTTGGATCAAATATTTGTTTAGTTGATTCATGTACAACACATACAATATTCAAAGAGAAGAAATATTTCTCTCATTTAAGTATGTGTAAGGCAGATGTTACTACAATTTCTGGTAGTAGTAAATTAATTGAAGGCTCTGGAAGAGCTACTATAACTCTGCCTAAGGGAACAATACTTATTATAGAGAATGCAATGTTCTCCTCCAAGTCCAAGAGGAACTTGTTGAGTTTTAAAGATATCCGTCAAAATGGATATCATATTGAGACAATAGATGAGAATAATCTTGAATATCTCATCATTACCAAAAATGTCTCTGGCCAGAAAAGGGCTATTGAGAAGTTCCCATCTTTGTCTTGTGGCCTGTATTGGACAAGAATTAGTGCAATTGAGGCACATTCTATTGTAAACCAAAAGGTTACCGATTCCAATACTTTTGTACTTTGGCATGATCGATTGGGACACCCTGGATCAATTATGATGAGACGAATTATAGAAAACTCAAATGGGCATCCATTAAAGAATTTAAAGATTCTTTTAAATGATGAATTTTCTTGCACTTCTTGTTATCAAGGCAAGTTAATTATTAGACCATCACCAACAAAGGTTGGAATTGAGTCCCCTGCGTTTTTGGAACGTATACAAGGGGACATTTGTGGACCTATTCACCCACCTAGTGGGTCGTTTAGATATTTTATGGTATTAATAGACGCATCTTCTAGATGGTCCCATGTGTGCCTATTGTCATCACGCAACCTCGCGTTTGCAAAATTAATGGCACAAATAATTCGATTACGGGCGCAATTCCCCGATAATCCAATTAAGTCTATTAGACTTGATAATGCTGCTGAGTTTTCATCCCAAGCATTTAATGATTATTGCTTATCAATTGGGATAAAAGTGGAACATCCTGTAGCTCATGTTCACACTCAAAATGGCCTTGCAGAGTCTTTAATTAAACGTCTGCAATTGATAGCAAGACCGTTACTCATGAAAACGAGGTTACCCACTTCTGTTTGGGGTCACGCCATTTTGCATGCAGCAATGCTAGTTCGTCTCAGACCGACAAATTATCATAAATATTCCCCGTTGCAATTAGTTTTGGGTCATGAACCTAATATATCCCATTTAAGAATTTTTGGATGCGCAGTATATGTGCCTGTAGCACCGCCATATCGCACCAAAATGGGTCCCCAAAGAAGGTTAGGAATATATGTTGGGTTTGAATCGCCCTCCATTATTCGCTACCTCGAAACATTAACGGGGGATTTGTTTACTGCACGATTTGCAGACTGTCGATTCGATGAGACACTTTTCCCAAAATTAGGGGGAGAAGTTGGTGAAACCAAACGGGAAATTTTGTGGAAAAATCCATCATTATCTCATCTTGATCCACGTGCCTCTATTTGTGAAAAAGAGGTGCAAAAGATTATTCATTTGCAGAGAATAGCAAATCAAATGCCAGATGCATTTACGGATATGAAAAGGATAACAAAATCACATATCCCTGCGGAGAATGTTCCAATCCGTATTGATGTCCCTATTGGACAATCTTCTAGTGTCATAGCTAATGAGTCAAAAGCACGCCTTAAACGTGGCAGACCATTAGGTTCCAAAGATCGAAATCCTAGAAAAAGGAAAACAAATGATCAAAATGACACTACGAAAGAATCTCATGAAGAAATCCACAATTTAATAAATTCTGAGATTCATGAGGAATCCACTGAGCCCGAGACTCAAGAAAATAAGGAACTATCAATAAATCCAATCGATATTGAGACAAATTTGAATCGAGTGGATATAGTGGTGGATTATGTCTTTGCATATAATGTTGCATCTAGCATTATGCAAGAAAGTGAGGATCTTGAACCTCAGTCTGTTGGAGAATGTCGACAAAGACGTGATTGGCCAAAATGGCAAGAAGCAATCCAATCAGAGTAGAACTCACTTGCGAAACGTGAAGTTTTTGGGGCTGTAGTCCAAACACCTAATGGTGTTAAGCCTGTTGGCTATAAATGGGTCTTTGTACGCAAGAGAAATGAGAAAAACGAGGTACAAAGATATAAGGCACGCCTTGTTGCACAAGGATTTTCACAAAGGCCCGGTGTCGATTATGAAGAGACATATTCACCCGTTATGGATGCTATAACGTTCTGTTATCTCATTAGTTTTGTTGTCCATGAAAAGCTTGACATGCATTTAATGGATGTGGTTACCGCCTACCTTTATGGCTCACTTGATAATGAGATATACATGAAAATTCCCGAGGGATTTAAAATGCCAAACGCACATAATTCAAAGTCCCGGGAAATATTTTCAATCAAATTGCAAAGATCTTTGTATGGTCTAAAGCAATCAGGACGAATGTGGTATAATCGTCTTAGTGAGTATTTATTAAAGGAAAGCTATATAAATGATGCCATTTGCCCATGCGTTTTTATAAAGAAAACAACATCGGAATTTGTTGTACTTGCCGTATATGTTGATGACATAAACCTTATTGGAACTCCTATAGAACTCCAAAAGGCAATTGATTATTTAAAGAAGGAATTCGAGATGAAAGATCTCGGAAAGACAAAATTATGTCTTGGTTTGCAAATTGAACATTTGGCAAACGGAATTTTTGTTCATCAATCTGCCTACATAGAAAAGGTATTGAAACGGTTTTACATGGATGGAGCACATCCATTAAGTACTCCGATGGTTGTTCGATCACTTGATGTGAATAAGGATCCATTCCGACCTCAAGAAGAGAATGAAGAGCTACTTGGTCCTGAAGTACCATATCTTAGTGCAATTGGTGCATTAATGTATCTTTCCAATACTACAAGGCCTGACATAACTTTTTCAGTTAATGTCTTAGCAAGATATAGCTCTGCTCCCACAAGGAGACATTGGAATGGGATCAAACACATATTGCAGTATCTAAAAGGGACTACCGATATGGGCTTATTTTATGGCAACAATTGCAGTCCCGATCTTGTTGGTTATGCTGATGCCGGGTATTTATCCGATCCACACAAGGCTCGGTCTCAAGCAGGTTATGTGTTTACCTGTGGAGGCACTGCCATATCTTGGCGATCGACTAAGCAATCAATTGTAGCTACTTCATCTAATCATGCTGAGATAATTGCTATCCATGAAGCAAGTCGAGAGTGTGTGTGGTTAAGGTCTATAATACATCTTATTCGAGACAAATGTGGTTTGAAATGTGACAAGTTACCCACAATTTTGTATGAAGATAATGCAGCATGCATAGCTCAATTGAAGGGAGGATTCATAAAAGGGGATAGGACAAAGCACATTTCACCAAAGTTATTTTTCGCACATGATCTTCAAAAGAATAGTGATATTAATGTGCAACAGATTCGTTCAAGTGATAATATGGCTGATTTGTTCACAAAATCTCTACCAACGTCAACCTTCAAGAAGCTAGTGTACAAGATCGGGATGCGAACGCTCAAGGATGTGAATTGATGCTCTCATCAGAGGGAGTTAATGCGCGTTGCACTCTTTTTCCCTTACAAGGTTTTGTCCCACTGGTTTTCCTTGCAAGGTTTTTAACGAGGCAACCAATAGGCGCATTTCTAAACATGTGTACTCTTTTTCCTTTTCTAGAATTTTTTTTCCCATTGGGTTTTCTTTTAGTTAAGGTTTTAACGAGTCACATTATCTGTTGAATAGACATTCAGGGGGAGTGTTATAAATAGAATCCTATTTATGATGAATGTCCATATTTAGAGAGATTCTAGGGTTTATTACTTGGTGGCTAAGTCAACCTCTCCCTATAAATAGAGGGTTCTATTCCATTATAATTCATCCCAATATCAATAAGAATTCTCTCTCTCTTTCTCTTTGCAATATTGTTCTTGTTCTTTTATTGTTTCATAACAGGTAGGAATTTCTTTTATATCTGCATTAGTCCAGCCCAAAAAGCTATCACACACTGGGTGTGAATTATATAAATGAAAATGAAACAAAAAGCACCTCCATTTGTTTTTATAGATATATATATATATATTTCAAAAATAGACTGTGACATTGTTCCGCCGGCGAAAAGCTAACCGGAGCTTCAGTTTATTTTTTTACTCCTACTTTTTATATTCTAAACTAAAATATTCTCACATTTATCTCTGCACATGTATTTCCATTTCTGAAAAAAGTATAAATATTTTCCAGTATTCTACATACGTTTAATTCATCTATTTCCGTGATCCAATGTCTCAAAGGTTCATTCTCTCTTCTCCAGTTTTCATCAAGAGTAGCAGATCTAGGGTTTCATGAATTTGATGCTACATTTTCTTAATATTGTTTAAACAATTTGTTTGTGATGCAGCTGAAACTGGTAATCTTCAAATACAGGACCGCAATGAGGTGAGAATGTTGGAAAATTATTATATTTTGCTATAATGATTGATATAAGAGCGACTATGTACTGATTGCAATGCAGATTTTGCTGAGGTTCGGAAAGAAGATGAGCGAAGGGCAACGGTATCAGCTGGGGACAATAGGAGCACTGTCTCTGTCTGTGGTGTCCTCTGTCTCCATTGTCATATGCAACAAGGCCCTTATTACCACTCTTGGCTTTACGTTTGGTCAGTTTTTGAGAATTATTCATTACATACTGAATTATGTAAATGAAATTAGTTGTGTCATATGCTGTAGTTAGATTCACTGACAATTTGCCTCAAAAAATAAAAATATCTTGGGGCACATTGTAATTAGTGAGGAGAGAACAAACTCAAATTTGTGGTTTAGTTGTATATCTACTTTTCTTTTGTTTCTACTTTCTAATTAGTTACTACTTCTTTAAGGCAACGAAGATTGACCTGATACATGAAGTAAGAAATCAACTTGGCTTATGTTATGGCTTAAGATTAATTTTAAGATTTTGTATTCATAGTGTGATACAGAAAGTACAATATCATGGTTTAATTTGAATTACATATGTATGTAAATATATCCCAAAGTAACCGTGTGTTAGGTTGTAATAGATGCAACTTTAATCTTTTCATGTCATTCAGATATCAGTTCTAACATCTGATATTACTCTCTCAGCTACAACTTTGACAAGCTGGCATCTTCTAGTTACATTTTGTTCTCTCCATGTGGCAATATGGATGAAACTATTCGATCACAAACCTTTTGATCCGAGAGCTGTTTTGGGCTTTGGAGTTCTGAATGGGTCTTCCATTGGACTTCTTAATCTAAGTCTGGGTTTCAACTCTGTTGGTTTTTATCAGGTTGATATCTTTTCCCTTCTGCCATTAGTAATTATTTGGTTAATTTCTTTTCATTTTTTTGATATTATCTATCAGGTTAAGTTGTTCCATTCTTTTTTTTTTTTGATAACCGTGGTGTTCGGGTCAGCTAGCATGCACCTCGACTAATTCCACGGGTTACCTGCTACCTCCCACCAGCACAGGTATCGGGGAACTCTGTCCATCAAGGCTTGGACAGATGGGAAGAAATCACCTAATATTTAAGTTGTTTCATTCTTTGCCTTCATTTCCTTTTCTCTTTATCCTTTTCTCCTTTTTTCTGGTTTGCAACTTACTAGCCTCTAACTCTTGACCTAGTGTTGTGGAAAAAAACTCCCTCAACGACTATGACAAAGAGTGACCGGTATCTTTTTCTCCTTTTCTCATTCCTTTCCCTCTTTTGGTATCTGTACCTGTGTATCCAGAAATGTACTTCATTGCGTAGCTTTTGCTATATCACTGTTTCCCGTTGATAATTTGCAATTGAGACTACTGAAGTTTTTTTATAAGATCAATAGGGCTGTATTGCAGGTCTCTGCTGCTTGAAGTTGCAACTTGCGTCCCTCTGACCTTAAGCTGTTCTTGTCACAACGCAGTAGGTAGTAATTATAAAAATAATAATTATCTATCTTAATTCTAGGGTCCTTTTCTGTTTTTGTTCTTTAGAAAGACACAGAAAGAAAATCATTTCCTCTTGTTTTGTGATTGCAAATAGTATAATTGATGTGATAAGCTCCTCTTGTATCTTGTTGCTATCAAAACATTCTCTAGAGCTTTATTCTATGTCATTGTACAAAGCTGTCGTCTTAGCATTGGGTACTTTAGAAACTTAAAAGCTGTTCCCTTTTCTTTTCTGATTTTTCTCTTTCATGCTTTTGCATTGTAGATGACAAAATTGGCAATCATCCCCTGTACAGTTCTTTTGGAGACTCTTTTCTTCAGGAAGAAGTTCAGGTGAAGTTCCAAAGTAGACTTGGGAAATTTTGTTTATAATAGATGAGTGCAGGATCACCACTGTTCTTGTTTTCTTTGGAGCATTTTCCTTATATATTTAGGCACGGGAATAGAAGGTGTTCTTTTTCCTTAAGTTTTTACCATTTCAACACTAAGCTTTGAACCAAATCTTGTGTTTGGTTTAAACCAGAACTAATTATTTTGGATATTTAATTAGGATAAAAATAAACACTAGATCTTGTGCTCATATGTTAAGTCGAACACTGTGAGTACTATTCATAATATATAATCATTTCTTCATAAAGTCTTCCTATATTTTCTCTTGATGAGAATCATAAGGGTAGAGGTCTCTAAACTATGTCGAAGGACGAGGTATTTACCACAATTTTATTCCCCAAAAACAAGAATAACAGGCAGTGTATAGGTAATACTCATATACGGTGTATTACACACAACACTCCGCTTTTTTTTAGTGCTTTTTTGCCAATTACAATGATATCTTAGTCAATTTTCCTGAATGGAGTCAGAATTAAAGCAGAATGCACGCAGTTAGAAAATGTTGGATACATCACCTTAGTCAATGAATTTTTAGCATTTATGAAAAAGTCTTTAGCGCAATTCAAAGATCTTGGGTGCTAGTTCACCTGCATGCTAAAGGGTTAAGGGAGAGCAGAAGCCGATGTCATATGTACTTGTGAATCTGTGATCAGGAGCAGTAAGCTTGTTAAACTTCGCCGCGGAGAGTTGTCTTTTTCTTGCCAGCTAATTTTGTTAAATCTATGATTTCACCAATATCAAATTTTTGTATCCTATTTAATATGCAATGTTCAAAAGTTTACTTTTTAACGTGAACGGAACTCTTGTTCAAGCGTACACTTTCTTGGTTGATCTATATTGCCTAGTAATTAAAATCTTATTCAGGTGCACTGGTTCAGCAATCCAGTCAACATACTTTTTTAATGGGTCCCTCTAATCAAAAGAAGTTTGTTTCATCAATTTGAGTATCAGGGTGCACCACGAGCTGTTAGTCTGTCTACATGAACTTTCAGGGGTCAATCGGAATGACCTCTGGACGTCTTCTGGTGTCATGTTTGTGGTCCATGTACTAATAATATGTATCTTTAGACTTTTGCTTCGCTTTATAAACATCTCACACACTTTAGTTTGCACCCAAGAAATTTTACTTTTCTGCAATATAGTAACTAGTCTCTATGATTTACAGTAGGAATATCCAGATTGCACTTGGTATTCTTCTCCTAGGGGTTGGCATTGCAACAGTGACTGATCTGCAGCTCAATTTCCTTGGTTCCGTTTTGTCTCTACTTGCAATTGTGACAACTTGCATTGCTCAGATTGTATCCTCAGCTGAAGTGCCAGTCAGTTCTTTTCAGTTTCTTATATCACTGTACCCCCAAACCCACTCCCCACAGATCCTTATCCCTTAGCAGCCTAGACAATTTTTTTTAAGGGGACAAGATTAAATTTTCTCCGAAGGAAGTTTCTTTTATGTATGTTCTGAAAATGTTATTGGTCATATGGTTTTTGCTTGAAATCCTTAACCTGTCTTCTCAGATGACCAATACTATCCAGAAGAAATTCAAGGTTTCTTCAACCCAGCTCCTATATCAGTCTTGTCCCTATCAAGCATTAACATTGTTTATTGTAGGACCATTTCTAGATGGGCTTTTGACAAATCAAAATGTGTTTGCTTTCAAATATACACCAAACGTGCTGGTAAGGATCAAAAATTGGTTTTATTCGTTTAAGCTAGGTATTTGCATAACATTGCTTTTAATTTGATGGCAGGCCTTCATTGTCCTATCCTGTCTAATATCAGTTTCTGTGAACTTTAGCACTTTTCTTGTAATTGGCAAGACATCTCCAGTTACCTATCAGGTCCTTGGACATCTGAAAACATGTCTAGTTTTGGCTTTTGGGTATGTTCTCCTTCGTGATCCCTTCAGTTGGCGAAACATTCTGGGCATCTTCATTGCCGTGGTTGGAATGGTTGTATATTCTTATTATTGTTCTATTGAGAGCCAGCAGAAGTTTACAGAGGCTGCATCCCAGCTATCTCAGGTGTTCTAACCTACCTTCTTTAGTATTTCTCATAATCCTTGGTGTTCTTTCAGCATAGACAACAGGGAAGCACAATCTATGATACGAGGGTCACTACTATATCGTGTTTTCTCTTTTTGATAAGTATTTTACAGTATGCTAACCAATTCTAGCTGATGTCTGTTATTGAAGGTGAAGGAAATGGAATCTGATCCCCTACTAAATGTTGAAAAAGGCAACGGCATTTTAGCTGATAGTGTTGTTGCGAAGGCCCCAGGGTGGAATTCTAACAAGGACTTCCTTGCATAAAAATATTCTGATGGCTGTCAATTGGTTAGCCCTTGATTAGAGTACAGATGGGAGTTCCAGCAGATTCGAGTTCCAATGAAGAAGCTGTAGCTGCAAGAACATCCAACCATCACATAATTTGTGTTACATTTGAAAAAGATATAGCTCTCTATTTTCCAGTTGGTAGAGTTGAAGGATATGTATCGTCAAATAGCAGTTCGGTTATGAGTATTGTATGAGTTAGACATTCCAAAAAATGCATACTCTGGTGGAGTATTATTTCCCCCCAGAATCTCAGCTTATTTGTTTCAGAGATTACTTTGGTCGTTCATACGAAGCCCATGAAGGTGTTGCAAGTGGATTTCTCCAATGCATGCAGATTTGTTTACTTTGTTTCCCTCTTTTCACCTTTGGGGGTGGTAATGATGATATGAATCTCATTCAAGGTGATCTCCATGAGAATATAAATAGATTGGAAGGGGGTTGGGGGGTTGGGGGGGGTTGAAGAAGATCGGACTTTCAGGTGTTGTACTGCAATTCGACCGTAAAGGAGGAAACACAAAACGTTGCGGAGTCGTTTGGTTGGTGAATACGTTATACTGGTACATATTACAATCCTGGAATTACAGTAAGGAGATTAAATAATGAAGGACTTGTCTGGTGGACATATTTTACTGGTAGATATTTGGTTTATTGGAATAAAAATGAGATATATAAGATATAACACAAAACATGTATTTGCTTTTATACAGATAAGTTGCGATAAACTTTATTTTAATTTTAACCTTGATTTTTAAAAGAATTATGGGAGAAGAGCTTTAGGAAGGGGTGTCTTATACTCTTATCCGTAGCTAGTATTCCCGAGATTATTATCCCACTTAGAACATAGTAAAAAGTAACACTAAGAATTATAGTATAGTATAACTAATCTCGAAAGTGCTAATTTTGAAATCAAAAGTTCAATCAAAAGTGACACAAAATATACTTTATCTCATGATTGTTTACCCTTGCCTTACAAACCAAACTACTAGATTGTTTAGTACGTGCTCTATCAACATATCATTATTGAATACTTTTTTTTCTTCCAAGATGGCAACACTAAAAGATTATAATAATTCTTTTAATAACAAACGGAGTACGTGTAAAATAACATAAAATCGAATCGATCCGCCCCGATTAAAACTTGTATTTGAACGGCTCGGCTAGACCGAGGTGAGCTGGACTAGGGGAGACCAGATTGGGGGTTGAGCCAACCAAGGAACTGGGCCCAGTAGACTGGCCCAAATACGAACCTGGGTCTTGGCCCACCATGGCACTAGCTCGAATCGGCTCTGTAACAGAAAATCTCTCTCTCTCTCTCTCTCTCTCTCTCTTTTAAATTTAATTTCTGGCATTTTATAGCCATTGGCCAACATCTATATAAACGGCCAAAATGGCCTCCCAACCCCAAAACACCCCGCACCCTCTTCCCCTTAAAGTTCTAATCCCTAAGATTATAAATTATATTTTGTCCCTAATTTCACCTATAAATACTCATTATTCTTCTTTTTTCATATAATTTCTACTTATTATCTCTCTAAATCTCTCTTTCTCTCTCACTTAAATAACTATCAACCTTTTATTAATTATTTTGGGTGAAGTTGCAATTAACAAGAGCAAGTACATTCAAGTTTTAAGTATTCAATTCATCAATTGAGGGTCACCTTGTTTCTATTTTTTCTCCGGTATTTTGGTACACTCGTTCTATATTTTACTTTTACTTAGTAATTTAATCATTGCATATTTATTTTTATTATTCTTGCATTGTTATAAAATAATAAAAGAAGAAGAAGAGTATTACAAAGAAAATTAGGGAGAGAGAATTCGTATTGATTTGTGATGAATTACAATGGAATAGAACACCTCTATTTATAGGGAAAAAGTGGCTTAGCAGCCAAGTAAAAAAGCCTAAGATCTCTCTAAAATATAGACATTCACCTTAAATATAGTTCTATTTATAACACTTCTCCTTGAATGTCTATTCAACAGATAATGTACCTTGTTAAAACCTTAACTACAATAAAATTTAGTGGGAAAAAAATTCTAGTGAAGGAAAAATAGCATATATCTAACAATACGTCTTTTGGTTGCCTCGTTAAAAATCTTGCAAGGAAAACCCAGTGGGACAAAATCTTGTAAGGAAAAAAGAGTACAACGCGTATTAACTCCCCCAAATGAGAGCACAAATTCACATCCTTGAGCCTCTGCATTCTAATCTTGTACACTAGCTTCTTGAAGGTTGACATCGGTAGAGATTTGGTGAACAAATCAGCCATATTATCACTTGAATGAATATGTCGCACCTTGAAATCACCATTCTTGTATATATGTAATCACTTCATATAATGTCGTGGAATAACCTTTTTAATATCTCCATAGAGGTATTCTCGCTATCACATTATCATGCTTATAGTTATAGCAAGATACATATGTGCACAAATAGCACTTAGGATATGGTACTTAAGAACCAAGAATTGTATATGCTTTAAGTGATTTAAATCCTTCAAGGATTGTCATATAAATTAAGTCATAAAAGTCATATAATAGACTTTAACTAGATGCATATCAAGTTTTCATGTCATGCTAGACAAATAAGATATCGAAAACTGATTGCACATATCATTGACTTTTTACTTTCAAGTGTTTAAACTACAGGTGAAAAACTACATGTCTTTCATATGAAACCAATTCTACTTGAATTGTTTCTCTTCCATTTGGCTAATATTTTTGTGTCTGTATTCGATAGACTTAAGATTCCCATCTATACTTAGCACTATCATAGATGTCATCGACGAACATTTTATATTGGCTCTAATATTTTTTTTTCCATAAAGACATAACATAGAGATCTCTTCCTTCATATTTTTAGGTACCTGAACCTCTCTTGAGATTTTATGAAGTATTATGTCATGTGATCTTCTAGATCACTTGCCTCCCTTTTATGATCATTTTGATCATTTGCTCATCTTCTTTATCAAGAATTTTATTTGAAGTCGATTTGTCTATACGCTTTAACCGTACCATAGACTTTGTCCTTCTAGGACCTATTCTAATATGAGCATTTGCAGTGAGAATATAGTTACTTTCTTTGGTCAGCAAATGTGTCTGGCATGCTTTATAAAGTATTGCAAATGAATTATCTTTTTATGAACTTCAAGTTCATATTTTTTTATTCGAGGATCTAGATATACAAATGATAATTCATTCCACGTAATATTTTCTCAACTGTTTATCCTGTCTTCCCCTCATGTTAGAAAAACTAACTTGCTTCCTCAACTTTGAAAATCCACCTTTGCGCGTTATGGTGTTAATCAAAATATACGCCGCACATCAATAATAATAATAATAAGATGGAATTATTTGATTCCTGTCCCTGAACCACTTGTGAGGGGAGAATGTAATATACTTTCATATATAAACTATATCAAACTGATATAGATAACTTTGTTCTCATAAGCAATAGTTTAGCTATTAAGTGGAGGCACTTGATAATAGGTGAATTAGACTATAAATAGACCCTAAAGAACCACATTTTTGTATAGCTTTGTTGTAAAAAGTGATAACCAAATGCTCTGATTAGTGCTTTTCATGCTTTGCAGGCTATATCCAACGAAAGAAGTCGATGGAGCAAGTTTGGGATCAATTACGGAGAAAAGGAGGCCAATCAAACAATGCCCAAGAAATGCACCAAGTGAAAAGTCAAAAGAAGTGCTGAACTTGGCCTGCCACGGTCAGACCGTAACCGCGGTAGGACCGCGGCAGAGTAGAGCTGCAGATTCAGAGAACCTATTTGGCCGCGGTCCCGGCGTAACCGCGGTGGGACCGCGGCAGAACGCGAAAAAGCTAGGGACGAAAGTGTCAAATCGGGAAAACTTGGTGTAAAACCCTAATAAAAACTAGGAATTCGGCCACATTAGGACAGATTTGTTTTAGAGAGTACTTTGGCAAGAGGAACAAGTGTGAGAGATCACCAAAAACATCATTATTCTTATTCTCTTTTATTTTTCTTGCAATTTTCGATTATGAATCTTCTAGTAGTTTATTCCTCCATTGTTATGAGTAGCTAAATACCTTAATCTAAGGTTTTGGTGGAACCCGTTGGGGATGACTTGGTTGTTTTATTAACATAGTTGGATTTGGTTGTTAATCTCTATTTGTTCATCTATGTTTTGATTGTGGTTAGTTGAAAGGGCCCTCAATTATCCGTTCCTATTTATTATGTATCTACTAGAGAGAGAGTGCATATTTAGGTGATTGTATGAACAACATCACTCCCGGAGTATAGACGAGAGTCATAACCGAGGGTTTAGAGGTTGGATTAGAGATAACAATACCTCGGGTGCAATCTAAGTGAACCATATTGTGAATCTAGCTAGCGTAGCTTGAGAGAGTGCGTCTAGTAAATTATCATAATTGCTTGAGAAAGATTTATGATAGCTGGAGCGTTCATGATTGATGAAGACAACTAAATCATAGTTATAAGACATATACAACCAAGGAAATTACCAACGGGGGAAACCATTGCCTTAGACCTTATTCTAATTGTTTACACATCAAGTTTAGTTAATTTTCAGCTGTTAATTACTTTCAGTCTTTAGTTGTTAGAAGAATCAACCATTGTGAATCAAAACGTTTGGGGAAACGGATTGTGTGAATTTAGTAAATCGGACAATAGTAATTGATAGGTTAATTCTCTGTGGTTCGACTCTGGGCATAAATACTCAGATTATATTTGCAACGCCCGCGTAGTCTTTTGTGAGACTCAGTTGAGCGTGATCAAATTTTGGCGCCGTTGCCGCGGAATTAACGGTATTATCAATTACAATTAAAAGAAGTACAAAAATTCTAAGTGTAGTCAGTTTTCTCTACACCCAATCTTTTCATTGAAATTCTAACGTTTGAAATCTTGTGGAAAGCAGCTGTATGCCTAGAAGTTCCTCGAGGACTGGAGAACTGCTAGAAGGACTTTCAGACCCCGAGAAGACATTCAGGGCATTGAACCTTGCTAACAAGAGGCTCCAATAATCACATCAGTCACACCAACTCGAATTTATCATGGGTGACGCAGAAAACAACATTGGAAATATTGGGGATCTGCCGGCAAACCCCAATGTAAGAGTAGTGGCACCCCTTGTGCCCGAAGCTGCACTTTATGACTGGGCACAACCCACAGCTAATAACTTGGCCACTGCCATAGTTGTGCCCGCAATTCAAGCGGAGACCTTCCAGATAACCAACAACATGCTGCATCTACTGCAGAATAAAGGATTGTTCTCCGGATCACACATTGAAGACCCTCAGCAGCACCTGGAAAATTTTCTGTCAATTTGTGTGACCCAAAGGCAGCCA